GAGAGAGAGAGAGAGAGAGAGAGAGAGAGAGAGAGAGAGAGAGAGAGAGAGCTTGTATGTGTTTAATTGATATCTTTTTGTTCCGTGTTCCTGGATGGTGTGTTTGCAGACAGAGTGGTATACACCTAAATATTGTCATATATCTGTGTATGTTGATGAGTACTCTGAAGAGTTCAAAGTGTGAATCCTTTTGCATACCTTGATTCCACCCAAATTCATTGTGTCATCAACCCGCCCATGCGCTCGATAATACCCTCCAGCAGTACTCTCAATCTCATCTCCATGTCGACGTAGTATCTGAACGGAGATTTGCACAAAAGGAGAATCAGCGATCAAGATATCAGTCAAAAGTCCCAACACTATTCCACCGACATGGAAGACCTGCACAAACAGAAATGCAATGGAAGGATTGAGGATAGGATCAGATATGCATCATGGCCCAGTGGTACAAAGACTCCAAGAATTAGGAAAGAACTTGCAGATAGACATGTAATGGACTCAACTTCTGAAGCTCACAATCAAATCTCACATGAGCTGATGAGGCTCAAATCAAGGGTAACAAGGAAAGTGAGATAACAATGAATGACATGACTAAGTGAAGAGCAACAGCATGAAAATATCGTCGAAATTTTTCGAAAAAAAAAAAGAATCAAAGTATTACAAACGACAAGTACAATGCCCAAGTTGTTCCTCCCCCTCCTACTTTGGCACTCCCCTCTCCCCACCCCAATGTATCTACCGGCTTGCATCTTCCCACTACTCCGCGGCCAAACTACCGTCTTCACCCAAATAACGCCCAGGCGTTTTTCGAATATGATGCCACTAATGCCCAGGCGTTATATTCGAATAGATCGCCTGGGGTTATATTTGAATGCGGGATGGGCAGAGTGCCTTGTAGAGGGAGCATACATGGGGTTTAAAAAGGGCGAAGGGTGGTATACATGGTTTTAAAGGGGGTTGAAAGGGGTTTTGACCTCCAAGGGGTACGCTTTTTTTCCCCCCCCTGATGTTGTAAGAAGTTCTTGAGTGACCCTCAACCAAAAAGTGGTTGCATTTCAATTCTAGACAACATAATTTATTAATTTTTTTATCAGAATTTTAAAATTTTCGATTTTTATTTTTTTTAATTTTGAGGCCCCACTGAAGTTGCTACCAATTTACTGAATATAACACCCAGGACCCAGGTGTTATAAACATTCGTATTCAACCCCCGGCATTATTTTCGGGTGAAGACGGTAGACACAACGTACACAGCCAAGTCAACGTCTTTCGAGCACTGGCCTATACCAGACTTGCCAGTAGCATAATATAATGCTGGAACATGCCAGCCAGTTCCATGCCCAATGGTTATGTTCTCCACTGTATGCACACACCTTGGAAGGGATGGGTTAAAAACGGTGTCATAAGAATTAAAGATATATGGGATAAGGATACCGAGGATTGGATAGATCCACCTAAACTAAGGAGGCAGCTTAGGTACTGTCACCATCAGATGGAATCTCTGGAGAAGATAATTGAACTCATCCCACTTGAATGGGTTCGTATTCTGAAGGGTGGTCCCAAATTTATGACAAATGATTGGGTAGCTATCAAGTCCCAATCCCAGGAAATTGTCATCATCCTGAACAATGATCAAAATGAAAGATTTCTCTTACAGATCTTTTCATTATCCTCCACCAATGTTGCATCTTCGATAGGTCAAGGGGAAACAAGATGGGTACAGGCTCAACAGATCTTCAGGATAAGGGTATTTAAGAGCAAGAACTTATGGATTGCATTCAAGCCAGACTGCCCTATCTCAGAGCTCCCTCTTGACCCGACAAATTGGGTATGGAATTCAGAAAAAAAAAAAGGAAATCACAACAGATCATTCAAGAGGAATATATATTCACTCAAAATCAAATCAGTGTATCGTATGCTGCGTCCTAAAATCAATCTGAAAGATAGGGTCTCAACAAGGTGGATGAAACAGCTTAATATAAGTAAAGAAGAGTTGAGACCGGTACGTTGGTTCAAAACAGTCAAAGACAAACCAGCAAAAATAGCTTCTCTTCAATGGCAAATTGAACATAGATGCCTTCCAACTAACGATTGGCTCATTGACAGATCCTCCTCAGAACAGAAAGGATTAGCAGAAAGATGGTGCAAACTTTGTAAATCCGCTTTCCCAAGTAGAATATCTCCGGAAACCATTGAGCATATCTTTATGCAGTGTCCAGGTTCGGTCTGGCTTTGGAGGTGGTGGGACCGTATCTGGTCACAATTAGTCCCACATATACTTCTAGAAACTTGGAGCCTGGATCCAGAGTTAGTAAAAGAAAATGAGGAATTTATAGATAATCTGTTCCAAATAGGGAGAGGAGCGGTTATGTGGGCCATCTGGATGAGAAGGTGTACATATGAATGGGAACGGGCTAGGTTAGACGGCCCAGACTTCACAGATACAATTAAGCAGCGAATTCAAACAGACAGTTTGATAAAATGGGATCAAATAAAAGAAAAAGTGCAATTTCTCTCAGATAAAACTGAAATTATGAATCATTTTCGAAAATTCACAAGTGGTTGGGTGGAAACCAGGGAAAGAGAATAGGGAGTGTTGTTTGGAATGGGGAAATGAATGATGATAATGCTGGACTTAAAAGGGACTATAAATTGGTTTTTGATGATTGGACCACCAGTGAGATTTCAGTACCTATGCGCCCATTATCAGAATTCCCTGATCCTTYCCCCCCCCCARCAAATGCTCTGGTTCCAAGCTCTTGGTTTGGTTTATAGGAAACAACTACCAGTTSGAAAAGTTGCTCATCAGGGTTTTTCACGAGATGATTCATCACTTTTATCAGGATCATCTATTCAATTAGTACCAGTTTATAATGAGAGATCTGGCGCCGCTCATATGAGGGTGAAGAGGTACAAGGAACTCAGTCAATCCCCTGAGGTGCAGAGAAATCAATGGCAGACCTCACAATCACTATTCTCACTGTTCTCAGACATTCTCAATTTCTGTATAAGGGACGCTGGACCTGTTTTCCAGCAGGTGACGCTCCCCACCAATAGATGGAGCCTCCCCCAGTTTGCTAGTGGTGTCTGTTCTTATCAACATCACTAGCAACTACTCGGGGTGTCTTTAAACAAAAAAAATAAAAAATAAAAAAAAATGCTGGAACATGCCATGACAACGTCTGTCGCCTGAAGCCGCATGGCGTCTCCTTTATTCAATCATAACCACATTGCCACCCTGAAGCTATGGTGACCTACCCTCTCATAGGTTAACCTCACCAGCACCAGTGCCACACTCTCTCTCCATAGCACAAGCAGCAAGAGAATCAGGTCTTGAAAGATAAGTGCTGGTTTCTTTCATCATGGAGGCTGCTTCTTGGGATAGCTATGGCCGCCAGCCAACAAGTAAGCTTCCTTTTCATTCTTGCCAGCCCTTCTTCAGTGGTTACCTCCTCCTTTCAATCTCCGCCACAGAACCCCCTCTGTATGGTGCCAGGCCTATACCAGTCAGCACCATCACCTCTAAGTCTTGGATGAAGAATGAGAAGCACGTGCAACCATTGGGGTCTTTCTCTGCAGCAGCTATGCCTGAGCACTCTACAGGTAAGCACTCTCCAGGTAAGGTTCCACTTCCACCACTCCTTGGACTCTGCCCCTGATCTCTCCTCTTTTCTCACTCTCATCTATGGCGATGGCTACCACTCCCTCTCACTCTAGCTGTGTCTGCCTCACACTCAGTCTGCCCCTTCTTCTAAGACAGTGCTAGTGCACTGGCGCCCAGCAGCACCCAACACGTGCAAGGCAGAATGAAAGCACGAGATGGGGTAGGCCAAGATTTCATGGCGTTGACTCTGCCCGACTGGCCTCAGGTTGCATCCTTGGATGGCTGAGATTTACCGATCTGATACGGGCCATACAGCCAAGAGTTCAACACAGCCAGTCTGCGCCACCCAGCGAGCCTGGGAGGTTCCGGAAACTGTTGCTGAGCCTTTGGATTGTAGGTGATCCGTGCCTGCAGTTGACTCTTCAGAAATCTCTGACTCTTTGGCTTCTGTACCGGGGTAGGGACCTGACTGTTGATCTTCCTGGGCTGCACTTCGACTTCTAGAGGCCTTGGGCACCTTGATTTGACCCTTGACCCCAGGCCTACCGACCCAAGGGCTTTCTCAGAACTGTTTCAAGGCTTTCAGGTCGTCTGATACTAGAAATTTGCCCTGACTAAAAGCTACGGCCCATCGACCTTTTTGCAACGCTGGTTCTACCCGATTCTCTGACTCTGTCGGGGGTTCCCCGAGACTGCTTTGAAAGGTCTGTGACTTAGACACGGACCGGACCATATTCTACCAGACTACGCACCATTTTGATGACCATGGAGAGCCTGCAGACCTGTTAAGGTTGACCAGTCCTTACTCTGACTTCGGGAGGATGTTTCTATGCTGGATGTGGACCTGGACCCTCACAGGCACACAGATGCACAGGAAGAACCTAAGATTAGCATACATAGCAATACTTCCGAATGAACAGGAGGCAAGCACCCAAACAGACAAATGCCTCCAGAGGAGGTTGTCTCCAAATCAGAAACATGCTGTACACAGTACTACACCACTCACCAACAGGTCTATCTTTCCAGCAACCTTCCTGTCGCTGGTTGTGAACATAACACATCCA